TGTCAGTATCAGGCAAGAGCATCCCTCCAGTGTTTGTGTTTCCCAGGAAGAATCTAAAAAAAATGGTATGGGTTTAACGCCACTATCAACACTATTAGGTTATTTAAGGGGCGGGACCTCCTAGTTTAAAGTCCGTCTCCGATAGGACAGAGCCAAGTGGAAAGTTCGTGTAGTGCCTTTCCCAAGGACACAACGTCGGACCGAGCTGAGGCTCGAACCCCCGAACCCACAATTACCAGTCTGGTAGCCTAACCACTACGCTACCGACGCCACCTGGAGGAAGAATCTGAAGGATGTAATAATGAATGGTGCCCCTGAAGGATCTTTAGGACTGGTCCACTCATCAGGATGGATGAAAAAGGAAAACCTTCTGCATGTCGTCAAACACATAATCCTTCACACACGGCCCACAAAGGAACAGCCAACCATCACCACAATGGACAACCACAAGAGCCATATATTTCTTGCAAGGCACTGGAATTCGCAAAAGAAAACATCCGTATCATGACTTTTCCGCCCCACACATCCAACATAACACAGCCATTGGACGAAGTGTTTTTGGCCCAATGAAAGCTGCTTTCAGCAGAAATTGTGACGCATGGAAGCTGAGAAAAACGGGAAAAACCATCACAATTTACGAGATGGCCGAACCCCGTCTGCAACTCCCTCCAACATCATGTCTGGCTTCCGACTGTCAAGAACTTGGCCTCTAAACAAGGATGCTTTTGAGAATGAAGAGTATCTGCAACCTGTGGTCACAGACAGACCGCCACCAGAGGTCCTACAGGCGGGACAGTCACAAGAAACATGTGTTCCATCAAATCAGGAACAACCCCCAGAATCACACGTCAACCCCTGAAATGAAACGTCTGATGGAGGAGGCTCAGAAAAAAGAGGAGAAAACAAAGAAAGAACCTAAGAAGAGATTGTTCATTGAGACTGTTGACTGAGAGACAGATGGGAAGAGTGTTAAGAAGGGAATGTTATAAGTTATAGAGAACCGATGGACAGGTAGATGTTGGTCAACAAATTAATTGAAATGAGGCCAATTTTTTAAATAATGTCCTTCTTTGAATAGTAACTGCATTGTGTGCTTTGCTTTTATTTTTCATTTTTGTTTTGGCAGTTTTCACTAACTCGCCTCGTTTTCCTTTCTTGTTATCCCCTCTGAAATTATGTAGATCTACTAGCGTCAAGGATGCTGTCAATAATATGCTCGTGTGCACGTATGTATATTTCAGGCGATGAAGAAAGCGATTGTACATCGGCCGAAATTGGTCCTGGCATCTCCTCGCTTCGTGCCGTTCTTGGTATGACTATGACTGGTAACGTCCGCCTTTCCTTTTGGTTTTTATTTTGATTGCCCCCCCCCCCCCCCCCCCCCCCAATGCTGCTTTGCCTTGTCCACAGTGTAGCTTTGCCCTCAGTTTTCATCAAAAGTTAATATTGGCTTTAACAAGAGGATAGTAGGTTTTTACATTGGTCTTAATGGTTACACGGACTACATCATTTTGACCAACGTTTTGGTAACAAGTGTTGTCCCAATAATATTTAGGACATAGTAGCTGATTTTATCGCCTTGGACTATGATAAGACAAGCAAGACCACACAAGTGATGAATGGCATCGTTTTAAATATATTCACTTTATTCATATCATTCCAAAACAAAATTTGAGACTACTTTTTCTGTTGCTAACTACTTTAATAAAACAGTAAAGCAGCATAATCTTATTTTCGACCAAATATAGCACGGGTTAATCTCTTTTAATTCAGTGACAAAACTGCTTGGTACAATTTTTTCATCTACCCCTCCCGCTCCCACATTCTCTTTCCAACTTTAGATTACTATAGGTGCGTACTCTGCGCTAGAGATCTCTGAATGTATTGCTTTCAAGTACCGATATTCTGAAAAGAAACACACAGAGTTATTACAATAAAGTTTAACATTGAGCCAACTAAGGAATACCACGACCGATTAAAGTTTAAAGAAAACAAAGGGTAACATCGATGTGCAATCGTAAAGAGCTGAAGACGTTCGGCTGGGAAAAGAAGGTGGCAAATCACAGGGCAAAGACCGACGAACAGGTTAAGAAATGTAGGATAAACAATAAGGAAAAACCTCACATTGGCTACCACTACCACTAGCAACGTTGCAACGCAAGTGATACTAGAAAAGCTACACAAGAGAGGCAACAGCATCCTGGTCAAGTCAGAAGGAAAGGACAGACAACGTTAAGGCTAGAGAAAGGTACCATTAAAAAAGGGAAAGGGTGAAGACGCAGAGAATACGAAAAAAGGGTCTATACATTCGAGGAAGCGTCATACAGACACCCACATCCTGCAAACAAGATGTCCAAAGTGAAAGTCCTTCCAAAAGTCAAAGCAGCTCGAAAGCAAACTTTGGAAGATCGATGTACGTCAGAATAATCTTTCCCAACAAAGCAGCAAAAGGACATTATATTGACTTTCCTCATCCTTGCTGAGTACAGTTGGACTTTGAACAGCAGCTAGTAAACATTCCATTCACTCGTTTCATGCTCAATGGCAATGTTGTGTGTTCTTGAAATCATACAGAGCTGTAAGGGAAGTAGAGGTCCACACTGTGATGAATTAGCTTCAATCTTCCTGTTCGAGCTACGGAAAATGAACTATTCATCCAAAGTGTGCCAAATGGGATGCTACAAGACTCACAAAATCGTTGTGGTCTCAAATGATATTGAAACCATGCCGTGGAAACATTTTTGGGAAGTGAACATCATGTCACAAGAAATCACAGAAAGATAGAACGTTGGTTGCTGCCATGAATAACGATGTATTTTGACAATGTTAGTAGCGATAATGAAGGCGATGAGAATACCTTTTTTGACATTTGGTTCTGTTGCTTCAGTTTTTGCTGCTGCTGCTGCTGTTTCTACGATTACTACTACATGTACTACTGCTTTTGCTACTGCTGCAGCTTCTACAGTTAGGAAAATTAATTTCAGTTCAGTTTGGATTTCATGTTTCACTTTACTGCCACAAGATTTTGTCTCGTAAATTTTAGGTCTCTATAAAATGCTCAATGAGTCAATAAGTTGATTTTTTTTCTTTCTATAAACATAACAGATAACATCAAAGAAGTATTTCAATACATATTTTAGTTCTCAGTAGTTGTGCATATTATTTTTAAGAAACAAATTGTCCTTTGTTCTGCACACTTCTTTTTTATCTTTTGTCCTGTAACGTTTAAGACTACTACATTTAGCTATTGTTGCGGTCAAAAACACTTATCGATTTTGTTCGTATTTGCTGAAACTACACCATTACATTTCCTGTTTTATAGCAATAGGCTACTTGCTTGAAGTTCTACTTTTATCAGTATTTTTGTAAATAAAAGTATAGTTTTCTTTTTGAAAAATAATTCTTGTCCGGTAACGCTAAAGACATTATGATTGTTGGATAAGCATTTTCTTCTTTAAAGAAATGTTTTGAAATTTGTGAGAACAAACAATGAATATAACGGACATTGTGCTTGCCCAATTAATTTTTCTTTCACAGTATTATATTTCCTGTTTTGACCGGTATTGTTGTGTCCTGTAACGTTTAAGACCGTAGCGCACTAGTCTAAACTTCACTTCTGTTTCCAAAGAAACCAAACAAGCTTTAGCTTCAGCCTTGTAGGGATCAAAACTAGGCATGTCAAAGGTGTACTGAGTATATTTTCAAGCAATTTTGTTGAATTCTAAAATTTGATGCCCGTGTTACGAAAAGTTCAAGTTTTCAGGAGAATTGCCCAAATATAGAAATAAAAATAAGTAGGCCTATTACTATTATTACTATTAATGATTACTACTGACTTATCAATTATCAGTGATGGCCCCTTTCTTTTTGCAAGGATATTTTTTTTTTCATCTCTTTGCTTTTTCTAGTAGGCCTACATGTACTACTAGTAGTATCTTTTATTTTTAGTCTCATGAAGCTGACTTGACATAATTTAATTAAGGTGAACTCGTAACAATGATAACTGCATTTATGTAGCGCATTATATCCATTTTCTACAGTCTACAGCATGCTCTGAGTGCTTTACAACTATTCGTAATGGAACAGTTACCATAGTTGAGTTAAGAAAAGGAATACAAATTGATGTTTTTGTATAGTATGTGGTATATCCAACGAACAGTGCCTACTTTTCATTCAATCATATGTGAGACATCGGTGTGAAATCAGGCACTTATCAATATTATAATGAAATCAAAGAAACTGTCATTTTTCTGTCCGTTTTGGCTTGTTTTAACTGAATTTTTGTTTTTTGACACAACACCTTTTATATATATCCATTTCTGCGTGGATTTTATTGAAAAATGTTGATTTAAGGCACAAAAATATAAATTTGCAGTTTCTAAGACTCTCAAGCTGCCATTTTCTGGCTAATTTACCTCTGAAACCAGGGGACTTCCACCACCTTCGGTCACAAATATCTCGACTTCCATTCTTGATAGATGAGTATTTTTTTTTTACACAATGCAAGACAAAGGAACAAGCTTTAAAATGGTACCAGTAATTCCACATGTCCAAAAATTGACATGCGCTTGATTCCACCGTGTTGTGACACACATCCCGTTACAAGTCTCACAGTCCCAAGGGAAGGCAATTATGACGTGGTGCCTAGGCCAACATTAAAAGCTAGCTATAGCTGGAATCCCGTTGGTACAATTGGGGCCCACTGTACAATTTTTCAATCTACATGTATAGATCTATCTCCTTACTGATAGAAAATTTGATATCATTTAATAACGATCTGTGATGAGGGAAAAAAAACAACCCAATTCAGATAATTAATTTTTACATCGTAAACAAGTTACTATTACTATCACTATTAATTATTTGTGTCAACCCCCCCTCACACTTTTCAGTTTCAGTTCAAACGAAATGGCAGATTACATTGACTTGGGTGCGGCATACATGTACCATTTTGAGATTATGGAAGAACCTTGATGCAAAAAGACAGAGAAACATAATGAATAACAGAAGAGTATTCATCATTTATCTGAGCAAAAGTAACTGAGTGTATCATTCAATTCAACTGACGAACTTGCATACATTTCACAACTATAAATTTTCAAACAAATTGCATGTACTATCAGATCAAGCAACAGACAGAAATATCTCCTTACATTAAATTCCCTACCAGTACCAGAGTGTAAAATGAACGAGTCTAAACACTAAGATTAGGCACAATGTTATTGGTGACATTGACAATTTCATGGGTACCATCTAAACCAACAGTCGGATTAGCTCCCGCAGCCTCTGGCCACCCTTCAGCGATAATTATTGTATTATTGTCAGCTTGGATAATCATTGGTGTACTGTTTCCCTGAGCATCAAAGACTTGACCATCAACAACCTGTATAGACTGGCCATCAAAGCCCTGAAGAGCATCCCGTAAGTCTATCATTTTCAGCTCTGTTTCCTGAGGGAGGTTTTCTTGTGGCTCTCTAATCTTCTTTGGGCGTCCCCGTTTGAGCAATGTACCGTTTTCGTGAGAGCGGAGGTGCCGACCGAGATGGCCCTTATTGCTGAATGCACTGCCACAAAGACTGCACAGGAACGGACGTTCCCCTGTGTGCATTCGGGCATGATCTTTCACCATATAACGCATAGAAAACTCTTTTCCACAGGTTTCACATTTGTAGGGCTTGACCCCAGTATGGGACAGTTTATGCTTATTCAAAGCCATTTGAGTCATGTAAGCGCGACCACATTCTTCACAATTGAAAGTCAAACCAGTCACCTCAGATTTATGGTGCTTCATGTGGATTTTGAAGCTTTCCTTGGCTTTATTAGAATAAGTTTTCCCACAAATATGACATTTCAGTGGCTCAGTACAAGACTTTGTATTCCGATGTTTTTGAAAGCCCGCATAGCTATAAAATTTTCTCCCACAATCTGGACAGTCATGTGTGTCCCTTGGATTTTCATGCACTTTGTAGCGGTGCAGCTTTAGATAGTCCTCACTGCTGAACCTTGATTCACAGATATCACACAAAAATTCACCAGTGCTCCCATCTTCATAACTTTTCCTTTTCTGGCAAGTTCCCATCCGAAAGTGTTTCAGATAACCAGCTTTTGTTCTGTACTCTCGATGACAATCTTCACATGAATATGAACTGCTTTTTGATTCATTTCGGTGGGATGATAAGTGCTCTTCTAATTCTCGCTCATCATTTAGAGCCTTAGAGCAGATAAAGCAAAAAACGGATGAGATACATTCTCCTTTTTTCATGTGTTTTGCACACGCCTGCACACTTTTGAAAAGTTTACTGCAAAACTGACATCTTCGAAGGTTTGAAGACAAACCAAGTGCATTGTCCCATTTCCTTTTTCTTCCTCTTTTCTTAGGTAGCAGAATTACTGAGTCAGATTTTGAATCTTCTTTACTTGACAAGCTGCTGGAAAAACCGGTAGTGGTCTTTTGGTTTCTTGTTGTGATACTTGAAGTTCTACGAGTTGTCACAGATGAGTTAGGGACAAAGTCTTCACTATCATCATTTAAATCTTCATCCCATTCAAAGTCACTCTCTTCTTTTATTTCAGTTTTAACCTCAGGCTTATTAGTTGTCGAACGGGAAACTTTCAAGGTAAAGCTTTCCTCTGCTTTTGAAAAGTCTATTGAAGTATCTTTATTAACAGATGCTGGTATCTTGGACAAAGAACTGCTTTGCAATGCAGATTTTATGAGTTTGTCTTTAATAAGACTTTTACCTATTTTCTGTCGACTTTCTGATACTGCACTCAGAAATTTAAGACCACCATCTAAAGATGCATTCCATTTTGTAGTAGACAAGTCATTTGCACTCGTTCCTTTTGTTTCTGTAGCAGACGAAGAGCTAGCCAGATCTTCAGTTGTTTCAACACAGTCAACACCCAGTATAACTGGATCTTCTTCTTCCTGTGAAAATAAAATAAAAAATTCATGAAATTGAAAATAAAAATCTCCCATTTTGTATAGATCTAGCTCATATAAATAACTTGTAAATGTCAGCAGATTATAAGAAGGATCATTGGCAAATGAAGACTGCACTACCTAAGCAGGCCCACATTATTTATACTGTATAATAATACATTGTACAATCAAACATGCACATAGCGAAACACTCACTAAGCGAACAGATTTTCAGGTCCACAATTTTTTCTTGTTTACATGAATATTCTTTGTATTTAAGAAATGTACATAGAAATTGGTACAAAAATAAAAAGATGTTCGTTCATGTCCCACTGATATGGCTTTATCTAAGTGCGTTGCTAGACTGTATTGAGATCACAAGAAAGTGCCAAAAATCTGAAACCTATGAAATATGTTTTGAATTTGACCATCTGAAAGAAGTGCAATTACAGACAAAAGAAAGCAGCAATCTAAATTAAAAACACCACTAGATTCTAGTAGCATTTCAATGTTATAATTTCCAATTTTAAGCGATCTGTGTTAGGTGTACTGGCTTGTGAATGTTATTCATTGTTTGAAGAGAGACACATAAAACATAAAGACAGTGATGTACTACAACAGTATAGTACAGTACAGCACAGCACAGTGCAGTGCTTCGTTTGTTTAAGTAAAGCTTTTACGGCGCTCGCAACTGTATAAGGTCATATATATATATATATGAGCGCCAAGGGGTGGATGTCAACAGACGTCCAAACAAGGAATCAGGCCTTCTCTGCTCACCTCTCTAGCCTCATACAAACATGTTAATATCCCCCTTTTGGAAATGGCCTAAAGACATTTAAATCAGAGGCATTGTCCTGGGGGAGGGGGGCCAGTGCAGTGTGTGCAGTGTAGTGTAGTGTAGTGTGGTGCAGTGCGGTGCGGTGCGGTGTAGTGCAGTGCAATGTAATGCAGTGTAGTATAGAGGAGGGGAGTGTATACGTTGTATTAACTTCTATTATAGTTATAGCAAAGATAGTACAAGACAAGATGGGCCGCTTCTCTCTTTGAGCCAATTAAAAAAGTGTCCTCAAAATTTGGTGGCGCCCTCTTCACAAAAGCGCACTCTTTGCGAACAGAGTTACCCTACTTGAGTTTTTAAAAATCAAAGTGAAACTAGCAAGTTTTGGGATAAATTTCGGAAGAACGCTTTTTAAAAATGGTTACGCTGACAAAAAACCTCTTCCGGAGGAAAAGGAGATGGTTTTCTTCGTTTAATTTGACTTTAGAATGAAGGGCGAGAGGTCATTAAAATAAAAAAAACCCTAAAACTCCGCACTGAACGTACCCGAACTGCTGATGAACAGCAGTCGATCTGCGCACGCAAGGATGTGCTATTCCTATTCTTCTTCTGGAAAAACGAAAGAGAGCTTCAAAACAGACTGCAGCGCCATCTGAAGCAAAGAGCATACTTCCTGCGGACACTTTTTAGGCTGAGTGGCCCATCTTGTCTTGTACTATCTTTGGTTATAGTCATGCATTGTAGTAGAGTCATAGAATATTCATGGTGTATAGTGTAGTGTCGTGTAGAGTAGAGAACAGTTTTTGTAAGAGTTTTACAGCACTTGCAAAACAATAAGGTCATAACATATATAAATAAGTAAGATTATAGGTGTTACAAGAGAGTAATAAACACAAAAAAGAAGGAGAGAGAGATCAGGACGATAGGTATTAGATAGAGGAAAGAAGGAGCAAACCACACCTGAGCACCCGCCAACAGCCCACTGAGTACAGTAAAGTACAGTGGAACTCAGTTTCAACGAACTCGAATTCAACGAAAGGATTCCCCATTTCTTTTTTTATCCATAAAAATCAATAAAAAATAACTCGGATTCAACAAACACATAAATAAGCAAGCTCGGATTCAACGAAGTCACTTGCAGGATGAACAGCTCCCGCTGACGTGACTTCGCTCATTTTACTCCCACAACGAACCTTATCTTGTCCAGGAAACCATCTATGGCATCTAAACCATGAACTATTATTAGCTCAGCATATATTGTTTATAATCTTATGCATATGCAACCAATGAGTGGTCTTCTTTTCATACCAAAACTAAAACACACGTGGTTGGCACTCACACATACATCTCATAGCGTGTGTCGGGTCGGACAGGCGCCAGCACACATGTGACTGTGTGTGCGTGTGTCTAGGGGAGGGGGGACACAAGCGGTCCAGACCCGGGCGTGGAACGTCAGTAGATGCAAACGCATCCCAGTTTTTTCCTCCCCCTACTGATTAACTTAACAATGATAAGCTTGTCTTGAGATACATTAGTGTAATGAATTGCACTCTGGACTGTGGTGGAATCAAACGTTGCCATAAAAGCTAGGCTCTATATCACAACATAACTTGTTGACAAACAGTATGTTAAAGATGATAAAAGACACAGGCATGCATTTGAACGAATTGGCCCTTAAAATGTGTTTGGTAGAGTTCAGTGTATTTTTCTGAAATTGTCCAGCAATACATGATATTACTTGCTTGGTGCCTGTAATAGTAATAGTCTCCACAAAATCCCCATGTTTGCTATAACGGACACTCAGAGTTAATGAAATTTAAGGTCAAGCACGACGACTTCATTGAATCCGAGTTCCACTGTACAACATACAGTATAGTACAGTACAGTTAGTAAGCTTGACAAAAATGTTTGCAAGCTTTTCACAATAGTGTACTAAATGCATGTAATTCACGTCATTAAGAAAAAAAAACAAACTCTACATTATGGACCAATACAGGTACGACGCACTGCTCGAACATCACAACCGGATCCTATAAAAACGTGTAGCACGGCTCGTGGTTTACCTGCACCCTATAAGAAAGATCATGAATGGAGTAAAATTGCGATCTAATATATGAAGTTTTCTACATTGCTTGAAGATATTTTTGGTCAATAAAGTTAAGACCTAAAATTGTTTTTTTGAGCTTGATACCGGTACACACCTAACTTTAGTTTTCTTTAGCGGGACAAGCAAAAGTACAATGAGAGTAAGTAGTATAGATCTACATGGAGTGTTGACTTTTATTCCTTAGAAGTTAATCAGGCGTCAGAGAATCTTTGGTAATACATGATATCAAAGTTAGCTTTCCCTTTCCAGCAATCTATTTACCATTTCTTTTTTAGGATGAACAATAGAGACACACTTCAGATCATCACTTGATAAGTTGGAGAGAACTTTAGATTTTGTGTCTTGCCTCTCACAATGCCACTTACCGTACCCTTCCCTATGAGCTCAGGAATTACAATAATATGGCTGCACTTGCTCTGTTTGAACAAATATGACCTCAGAATTAATTACAGACAATATCGTGTGTAAACAGAATATCATGCTTCAGACACAGAGACACCTAAAAATAGTCACATCAAGATCAAAGAAATTGAGACAGACGATTCCCATTACTTTTAATGGTCAAATATTTTGAGAGAGAAAGAGTGAAACTGAAAACTGACTCCATTTAAACCTTCACTAATTTCTAGACTTAGATTTATGAATTTATGTGACAAACATCTTCATTTTAACTGATCAAAACTTACTGTTTTCACATTGGTGTCCAAAACTTGACCTGTTTTGGCATGCACTCTCTGGACTGTCACTTTTCGACACACAACCATCTTCACGAAAGCCTCAACCATTGTTTTCCTTATGACATCAGAGTCCTGTTCCTTTTCATCAAAAGAAAATGACGCCTGTTGACTAGATGAAGAAGAGTCTTTGTCAACGTTGACACTAGCATCACTATTATCATTTTTCAAAGCAGTCTGGCCTTCTGAAGTATCCTGACCTTCATCGCCAATAGGATGGGACAAATTTTCCTTTGCTTGATCTTGAGCACAGTCTTTTGAATCTTCAGAGAAAGGCAAAGTCAACACATTACCTCCGAAATTCTGCAGAATGTGCTCAATTCCTTCAGATCTCACAACTTGTGAAGCAGTCTCTACCGCAGCTTGTGAAGATGATGATGACGATAACACTGGTTGTGATGATTTATTTCGCAAAGCAGGGTTCAGAAGTTCAGGGCTAGAAATCAGAGAGTTGACCAAATCCGGGTCAATGTTTGCATCATGCACATCTCTGAAAGGCAGAGATGTTACTCCAGCCTTTGAAAAATTGCTGACTAAACCCTTGGGTAACAAGCTTTTTAATTTTGATGAGCTAGTAAAGCCAGTTTGGGGATTCACTTTTACTATTATAGCCCCAGTCTGGGCCTGGGACTGGTTGTGCAAAGGTCGAACAATAAGTTCTTCCTGTGGAGTAGCAATCACAACTGTGGCTTGAGGTTGGGGAGCTCCAGAGGCCTGTTGGGAATCTGGCTGATCTCCTTCCATTCTGAAACTTTTCCGCAAATCAGAACATTCTGCAAAGAGAATAAAAAGCAAACTAAAGCATAAAAAAGTTTCAAAATTTAATCATTAATCATTTTTTACTTTCATAAATCCTTCAGGCCAGATGTAAAACGGAAATGACGACAGATGCAACACAAGTTAGGGCTACAACTTCGTAATAAAAGCCAAGACAGCTGACAGCTTTCGAATTGCACCATATCATGCGTTTGTCGTTGATTTCCTTAAAAATTGTCTGTCATGTGTTTGAACCTTGTAGGCCTGGCCCCATTTATTGGGCATGGATACGGCCGCACCTAGGTCAGGTGGCCGCAAAGTGGTACGCCGAAGTTGTGAAGAAAACACCCATTGCACTCTATAATTGGAAGGGCCGAATTGGAAGGGCTGGCCCTTCCTGCGGCTTTTTTCTCCACGAAAGTCAAGTTGGGAACCTCTTCGTGCAGAAGCAATGCTAGCTTGGGGGGGGGATGTTCGTTCCCAGCCGCAAGTGGTCAAGTAACTAACTATCTTTTTTAAATATTTCCAATCGAATCAGCTTTCGTAATTAATGATGTAGATCATCAAAAAATCTAGACATTTCAGTGGCGGGCGGGGAAGGGGGGCGGTAATCTAGATCTCTTAATCCCTAGGCCTTTCTAATTCAATCTTGGGTTTGATTTTTAGATCTAGATCTAATTTCTATGGGTCAGTCCACCAGTAAGGGTCACTTTTTGTTACATCAGACATGAAAATTCGAGATGTCTGTATTATATGCTGATTTGATGATTGGGTAGCACAATTATCCATTGATAATATCTTAAAAGTAGGCCTACAGATCTCCTGCTTTTGTAGTTTTTTTGTATACTTTGTAAAATAAGTAACTTTCCCTAAATTTCCAGGAGTATTACAAGTCCAAAATAGTTGATAATCATCATCATCCAGAGCCAGATCTGCGACAGACATCGGCGATCATGATTTTCCATTCATTCCTTTGCTCGGATGCTCTCTGAAAAGCTACGTTTCCCTGATCTTTCCCTGTTACCCGTTTGTTTAGGTTCCCTAAGTTTGTTCTGGGCCTACCCCTGCCTCGCTTGCCCTCAATTTTGCCAGTGAAAGCTAGATGTTCAAGACCCTTATGTCTATTCAGGTGTCTCAAAAACTGCATTTGTCATTTCCTGATTGTTTTTAACATTGAGCGTCCCACGTGGGCTTCATCAAGCACTACCTCATTTGATTTCTTTTCCTTCCACGATACTCTTAGCACAGTCTCCTAAGAAACCACTGTTGATAATAACCAACAAAAAACTAACAAACAAATGTTGCATTTCACGGGATTCGGTTTTTATTGTGAAATCCCTTCTTAGTTTTAGAAGAAAAGTACGACAAATGGTCTTTTTTTTTACACAGCTCATAATCATAATATATATATATATGCAGGTGCCAGGTGGTCTGCTAATCTTCAATTTTACCTTTTTCTACAACAAAGAAAGTGGGAAACATGGGGGGTGGGGGGCGCATCAATGAGGTGGCGGGTATCGGATCGGCAGAAAAGGTGTGGGGGAAACTAAAAAATGGCGGAAAATTAGAAGCACTCAACGTTTGATCTCTTGAACGAAGACACCTTCCCTTTTTCCAGACCCGAGTCCGAATAAAATTTTTTTTATTCGGACTCGAGTCCGAATATATATATATATATGAAAAAATGTTATTCAGACTCGAGTCCGAATAAAGACGGCCATTATAAAATGATATATTTAAAACAAAAAAGTTTGTTTCAGTGTGATGGCGCGTCGCGCCCATCTTGAGATGGCCGCGCTTTCTGCGGATCGTCATATGGTTCAGCGCCATCTTAAGATCGCGCTGATCGGCAAATGGTGCTTGACATTCCTACCGTGATTTTTAATCTAGCCTCATTGCAAAAAAAAAAAAGGAACATTTCAGCACCTTTTTTTTGGATGGGCAAAGTAGTTTAACACTAGATCTAGAACCAGATCTCCCCAAATCTTTAGTTTCAAGCCATTCTGTCTGTTTTTATAGGTGTTCAGGAATGTTGACATATGTGTAACAAAATCATAGCCCCCCCCCCCCCCCCCCCCCCCCCCCCCACTGATTTTTAGGCCTTTTTCCCTGAAAAAGTATTTTTTTGAGCTTTTTTAGCTTAGAATAAGAAAGGTCCAACCTTCCTATGCTTTTGTGGGAGCTTCCTCCTTATAAATATTTTAGACCAATTGCTTCAATGTGGTTGCGGGAGGAATATTCCTTTAATTACGGAGATATGGGTTTTTTTCAGATTTATAACTCTCGATGGCCATCAAAATCATGATGGAAGACCGGTGACCCCTAGATTACTCGTGGACTGACCCACATCTATTCTAGAAATCTAGATTCTAGATCTAGATCTTAAAATATATCTAGTCTAGATTAGATCTAAATATTGTAAATTTTTACTTTCACTCCCGCACACAGATGCAGTTTCAGGGGTCAAACTGCTGTACTGTTTGCTGCAGATCACACATAAAGCCACTAAAACTGTCGCAAAGCAATTATTTTCAAGACAATTTCAAATCTAACTGTAAAATATCAAACTATGGGTAAAATAAGGGGGGCATGCCCCCCTGTAACCCCCCCAGATTTTCTTTTACCCCAGTGGGGCAGGCCCTCCCTGGAACCCCCCCCCCGATTGGTCCAAAGCATGTCTATCTCGGTTAAAAACAATTAAATATTTCAAAAACTATTAATTTGCGACGGAAATGAAGTTGATATTCGTGTTCAGCGCATCAATATTTAGAATCTAGATCTAGATCTAGATTAAAAAAATTTCTAGTACAAAATAGACAATTGGTAGCTGAGTGTGAGACGGGAGGGAAAGTAAAAAAATACCTATTTTATTTTTCATAGATCTATATTAGATCTAGATTATGGATCTAGATCTAGAATCTAGATTCTAAATTAGGAATTTAAAACAATAAATGGTCTTCCAATCGTGCACGTCTTATTTTAAAATTTTAAAATTAATCAAATAAAATATTTTCATCCAAACCAGGAGTGAACCATATTTTAAATTAAAAAAAGAAAAGTTGCAGCTCCCAAAATAAGGAACCAGATATTTAACTATATTAATACTTGACCCTATAACTCACCTCAGTATCTGATGAATAATGCTTTAAAATAAGGAGTCAAAGTCAGAAAATAAATAATAAAATGGTACAGATTTGATATTCTGAGTGCAGAAGGCCAGTAAAATGGCGGAGGTACAATTATAATTCCAAGCCTGTTTTTTCGCAGTGAATTTCTGACTTCCGGCACGGTTCCGTCACTTCGTCTTGTTGCCGGGTGACCCTTTTTCTTTTTATAGTTTCTATAATACACGATGTTTATTTTTACATGTTTGGTACAGCATTAGCGAGGGGGGGGGGGGGGGGGGGGGTACACCTGAAGGTTATCTCGCTTATTAGTGGACCAAATGTTACCAAATTTCACACCCATAACAAGCTTAGTAAGGAGTCTTAAAACCGCAATCATAGAGAGATGGCTCTTCGAACCGATGCGCGTATCTGGGTCACCAGCTGATCGTGGAGAAACGCGCGTTAAACAAAACAAACTGCGTCCATTGTTCAAGGTATTTTCGTTGATCGCAGACAAACATGGCCCCAGTTATCACGAAATGTCAATGGTGTTCTGCTATAAACTGCACCTATCAAAATCAAAATCTGAGTTTCTTTCGATTTCCAAAGGAAGACGAATATATTTTGATGAATAGAAAAATATATATCAAAATAATGACAATGTGATTGTGGTCCTGCAAGACTCACACTCCATGCTCAAACTCAACACACTTCAACTTTTTTAAATATCAGCTATAAATTTGTTTTTTTTCCCCTGTCTAAATGCCCAAATTGAGCTTGCATTCTACTAGTGAAAGATATGTTACCTGGGTCTGCGTAAAGTTGTCTAAATACAAAGTGCCATCGAGAGGTTTTATTGCTACTTTACCGATTACCACTTTTTTTCCTTTTTTTGGGGGGGGGGGGGGGGGATGGGGGATGGAAGGTGTTACCGATTCTTTTAAACTCATTATCATTATTGCTTCATGTGCTTTTCCACGATCTGAAATTGTGAGACTCTAATATAACGTGTGTGTGTGTGTGTGTGTGTGTGTGTGTGTGTGTGTGTGTGTGTGTGTGAGAGAGAGAGAGAGAGAGAGAGAGAGAGAGAGAGAGAGAGAGAGAGAGAGAGAGAGAGAGAGAGAGAGACAGACAGACAGACAGACAGACAGGCAGACAGACAGGCAGACAGACAGACAGACAGACAGACAGACAGACGGACGGACAGAAACAAAGAAAGAGACAGAGAAACAGATTGACAGACAGACATTTTGACAGAGCGAAAGAGGGGAGAAAGAGAGACGTACAGAGAAAGCGAGACAGAAAGAGAGAGAGAGAGAGAGAGAGAGAGGGGGGAAGAGAGAGAAAGAGAGAAAGATAGGGGAGAGAGAGAAAGAGACAGACAGACAGACAGACAGACAGACAGACAGACAGACAGACAGACAGACAGACAGACAGACAGACAGGCAGACAGACAGACAGACAGACAGAGAGAAGGGGGAGAAGAAGAGATAGGGAAAGAGAAAGAGAGACAGACAGATATACAAAACAGACAGACAGACAGACAGACAGAGA